AGTAGTAGTAGTGGTAGTAGTAGTAGTAGTAGTGGTAGTAGTGGTAGTAGTGGTAGTAGTGGTAGAAGTCGCAGCAGCAGCAGCAGCAGCAGCAGCAGTAGTAGTAGTAGTAGTAGGAGTAGGAGTAGGAGTGGGAGTAGGAGACAGAGTAGGAATAGGAGTAGGGGTGGAAGCGGCAGTAGGAGCAGGCGTGAACAGGAGTTGGAGTAGGATTGGCAGTGGTGGTGGCGGTGGTGGTGGTGGTGGCGGCGGCGGCGGCGGCGGTGTTGGTGGTAGTGGTAGTGGTATTATTATTGTTACTTGTAGTCATAATAGTAGAAGTGTTCGTGTGCACGTCCTCGAATGCAGCACGAGCACTCGATGCAAAGAACATGTGCTTTTTCGCCGAAGCGTGCAAAAGATCTGAGCTCAAGGGGCGCCCGCTGGAGGGAGCCAAAAGCACGAAGTGCACAGATGCATGCAATCCAAGAGCGTGACATGCAAGCCTAAGGTATGCACGAAACTTTCACTGGTTTAGTTTTCTGTTGGATTGCATATACCTGCGTGGCTGCTACTGCTTTAAGGTAGCTGTGGGGTTCTGCAGCCAATCGTGCATTGAAAGCTGGAGTTCCAGGGACTGCTTGGTAAGAGAGTCCGCCCACATGAGAGTGGTAGGAACCCAGTGGAATCTTTCGGCGGCTACGACCTCCTGTATAGCCCTGATATTTACCAGGGAGCGCTTATCACTCAGGTTCGGAGAATCACTGACCACCACATCGTAGAGGCTCTTGGCATCCGTGGCGGCAAGGTTGTGGAGTCGTTGGCCGACTCGGTGCGCGGGCACCTCGTAGAGGAGCTCTCCCAGGAACATGTTCACGTAAGAGCTCCTGTCGCAGGCCTCGTCTGCAGCGCAGCTCTCAGCTGCCAAGGTCGAGCGGCACACCCTCTGGGATCGGCAAGACTTCCAGTCCACGATCATGGCCGGAACGGTCCTCTGCAACACTGCCGTGCTGCAAAGCACGATCAGCACTCCATACTGGGACCTGCTCTGCTCAGCGTTTGCCCAGCTGGCGTCGGAGTACGCCAAAACCACCGTGGCCTTGTTGAGGGGCACGTCGGGGATGATGAAGCCGTCCTCCTTGGTCTCCCGTGCGAAGTCTACGGCCTGGTAGAGGTCGCGAAGGTCCGCGAGGGTCGTCTTAGAGCCGTGGTTTGCCAAACTGTTCACTGCGGCCAGCTCTGGCCTTGTCTGGCCACTGATCCATTGGAGGCAGCCGGCTATGCTTCGGAATTCTGCCTTCTGGTCGTCGAGGAGCTGGTCGAGGCCGCTCCCGCGTGGAATCTTCCCAGGAGACATGCCTTCGATGAACTCCTTCTGGCAAACGTGGAGGTAAACACGGCCTCCGGGCTTCTCCTTCAGGGTGAGCTGCTTTCCCTTGAAGGTGACGGTCTTGTTGAGGGCGAACTCCTGGAGGACGCCCCAGCGGAAGGCCTGAGTGACCTCGGTGGCTCCAATGAAATCGTCGACATAGACGATGATAATGGACACCAGCTGCCCATCGCGGTACTTAAGGAAAACCATCTTGTCGAAGGCGTGCTGCTGGTAGCCAATCTCTTTGAGCCGGGCAATCACAGTAAGTGCCCACAGCCTGGGCGCGTTGCTGAGCCCGTAGATGTTGGTACACACCAGGTAGAGCCGGGCCTTCCAGCAGTCCGTCATGGCAGTGATGCCGTCGGTGGGGGGCAGCAAGTAGAGCGGCTGGTCCCGCTCCGAGTCCTTGATGTCGCCCTGCAGGAAGGCGGTGCTCGCGTCGCCGCTCCAGGCTGTCCAGCTAAGGCCGCTGTCGTCGAACTCCTTGTTGTGGCCCGCCACCATCACGCAAATAAACAAGATGTGCTCTGAGGTCCTGTTCGGGGTAGCGCACTCTCGATTGAGACGGAAGATGTCGGGGTCCTTGTGTCCCAACGCCACCACCCGGCACTTCGGGACCAGCTCAGCTAGTCCCCGGCTTTTGTTGCGGAAGCAGCTGCGGGTCCTGAGGATGCGCTTCGAGAGGATCTTGTCCTTGAGCACGCGCTCCGCCTCGGCGTGCGACAAGGGCTTGACTGACCCCCATTCCTCCCAGCTCTTCGCCTCCTTCACGGTGGCGGCCTTGAAGGCTTCAATGTCCTTCTCGTTCATGTCCAAGATCTTGCGCCAAGGGATCTCACGGTCCAAGGCCTTGGCTTCTGCCCTGGTGAGCGGCTTCTTGTTGTGCTTTCCCGGCGCGCTGTCGTCCCAGTCAGAGTCGCTGGTGTCGGTCTCGGCGGGGTCCTTGTTGGAGTGCTTGAGGTCGTCCTTGCGGTAGGCGGAGCTTAAGTAGGCCTCGTAGCAGTTCTCGGCCTTGGGACCATAGCCCTCGTCAAAGGTGACGCCGGGAACGTAGTGGTGAAGGTTGCCGTGCTCATAGAAGAGGGTGGTCAAGGAGTCAAAGGGCCGCTTGGCGGGCAGTAGGGTCTCGGGCTGCCCGGTAGACGAGTCTGCTTGGCTGGTCACCGGTGTCGTTGGTGACACTCTGGAACTGTTGGGGTTTGGAGCTGCTGCCGGCGCTTGTGGTACAGGGGGTTCCAAGTGGTCTTGCTGGTCTGTGGTCGTGGTTTCGGGCGGCACCTCGGGAAACGCTTGTGGTACAGGAGGTTCCTCTTCCATGCCAGGAATGTCTGCGAAGTCGGCCGACTCGTACTGAGCTGACTCCAGTCCTCTCTGCAAAGGCGTCGGTGGCACAGGGACCGGTGTGGCGCTGGAGGTCCTGGCGGTAACGCTTGTTGTTCCTGAGGTCCATCCGAAACTAAAGACTGTAGAGGGACCGGTGGCTCTGGAGGTCCCGGTGGTAACGCTTGTTGTTCCTGATGTCCAAGCTCCGGCTGTGAGCCCGGTGGCAAAGCAGGTGGCTTAGGCGAACGGCTTCTCAAAGCCGCCCGTGGTGTCCGTGGCACAGACTGGCCTCGTGGTGTCCTCGGGGCCGAAGTGGCTCGACGAGCTCCTTGTGCAGGGTCCCCAAGACGAGCCGTGTTGTGGATGATGGTCTGCTGCAGGTGGGGCTGTATCACCACCGTCTGGTTCTGTTGGCTCATCTGCAGACCTGGTTCTCCCAGAATAGAAGGCGCTGGCCCGGTCGGAGGTGTCTGCGGTATTGCCGCCGTTGCTGCTGCAAGCTCTGGGGTGGCGCCGTCGAAGAGCTCGGTGTCCAAGTCCACCTCGTCCTCGTCGAGCTGCCTCTTTGGTGGCGGCGGGCCCGTCTCGTCGGCCCACACAGAACTGTCCAGGTTCTTGGCGGCATCCTTCAGCAGCCGAACCTCCTCCTCGGTCGGAACCCAGGCCTCAAAGCCGGTTGGCGACCATGGCAGTTGAAGTCCCTGACCTCACCCACGCGAGCTTGCCTGGCGAGCTGGGGTCCCAACGCAGAAACTTGGCTGTCACCCAGCCGCCCCGCTTCTTGATGCCGCGCTTCCTCCATCTCCAGTAGGCGCAAGGCTGGCCGGGCTGGAGATCTGCCACGCGGACGTTGCGGGTCTTTCGGAGAATGGCCCGCCGCAAGCTCTGCTTCACGTTGAGGTCGGCTATCGTCTTGGTGGCCTCGGCCCTGACGATCTCGGCCGAGGCTGCGGCGTCTGTGGTCGCTGTTGTCGCCAGGGCGTGGCTGTCGGAAAAGAGGCCACCAGGCAAACGAGGAACGCGGCCGAAAACTGCTTGGTACGCTCCTTCCTCTGGTCAGCACCATAGAGTTGACAGCGTGCAAGGTGGGAGCCAACAGGAGCTGCATCTCGGTCACGTCGGTGGCCGCGAAGGTGTCCACCAACTTCTCGATCACCGTGCGGAGGAAGGCGTTCTGTCTTTCCGCCTGTCCTATCTGCCAGTGTGCGTCCGCGGCACAGTAGTTCACGAGGACGCCGTGTGAGCGAAGACGCTCTTCAAAAGCTCCTTGAAAGGTGCCGTCCGGATCGACGGCAAGCTCCACCATGAGGCCAAAAGGGTGCAGCCAGATTCGCTCGAGCGCCTCGTATGCAACTTCAGGGTCCCTCGAAGGAAGAATGGCCGCCTGGTGCAATCTCGTAGCTGAGTCCACGACCCCCAACACGATCACTGAACGTCCTCGGAGGTCTCAGCAGTAGAAAACATCCGCCTCGACCCTGTCACCAAACTGTGTTGCTCTCGTGGTCGCGGTAGCCGGCGGGGATTTTTGAGGGCCACGAAGTCGGTCACAAGTGGCGCACTTAAGCCGCCGGATGGCCTGCAAGAACAAGTCGCTCGGGGTGCCAGTTTGCACCGCAAGTCTCAGTAGCTCTTCAGGGGTCGCGTGCCCTAAGTTCACATGGGCTCTTGCTATTGCGCGTCTCACCTCAAGAGGCACAGTAGGAGCCAGGCCTGGAAAGGTGATGTCGGTCGGCAGGCCGGCGACTGGGACCTCGGGGTTTTGCTGCTCCGGGGTCTCTGCCTGATCTTCGATGAGGTCACCATACGCCAAAATAGCGTACCTCACCGCCTTGGAAAAACGCTGCTTCGGCTGCTGAACCAGGCTGAGGTCTTCCACCTCGACGGCGCGGCTGCCGTCGGCATACATCAAAAAGGCTGCTCTGGCAGTAAAGGGGATGTCGGTCGGCATCCTCCTCTGAGTGGGTGTCTGCACGCACTGGATCCGGGCCAAACGCAGCCGAAACAAATCCGAAATCTTTTGCCCCACCTCCCCGGCCGGGTCCACGTAGAACGGCCGAGAGCTCGAAGTGCCGAAGGAGCGGTGCAGCATTTCGGCCATCTCGTTCCAGGCGGCCTGCTCGGTCACGGGGGTGCGGTAGCTGACGAAGGCCTCGTAGATGCCGAACCGCAGGGGTTCCTTGCCGACGACATAGTCCGTGATCGTGCCAAGGAGGGGCTCGAGGAGCTCGGTCTGGTGGTCGGTGTCGGCAAGGGTCGCCGCGGCTCCGGGAATGTTGGTGTACACGTGCACCGGGGTGTCTCTAGCCAGCCGGGTTGTTGCAAAGGAGTGGTCGGCTAACTGCTGGTAGTGTGCTCCCAGGCTGGAGCCGGGCCTCGTCATCATGATAAAGGCCCTGCCGTGGTCAACCTGTTCGGCCAGGAGGTGGTGCATGTTGTTGCCGAGGGTGCCGTCGGGGAAGAAGTCGAGGTAGGAGAGGCAAAGAACGTGTGGCCGAAGCCGCCGTAGTGCTCGTAGTGCTCCTCTCCATCCCTCAGGGTCGTCGCAAAGACGGTCGGCCACCCCAGCAGAAAAAGTCAAAGAGGATATTCGTCTTGAGGCGAGGCCGTCCCTGATGTGGTAGTGGTCCGGGAAAACAGACAAGTAGTCCACCGTCGGGGGCGGCCGCGTGGTAGTCGATGGTGCTGCCTCGTAGATCCCCTTCTCGCTCTCGAGCACCTTTGCTGATTTTGCCCATGTGCCCTTGAGCCGCTTCACGCGGCCTCGGTCCAGTCGTAGGTCTCCGAGTCCTCGGCGTTGAGCAGCTTCCAGGGATCGACGTCCATCTCGGAGGCGCTGCTCGCCGGAGCTCGGCGTGCCGATCGCTTCTTCGGGGAAGCCTTCGCCGCGGCGCCGGTGCGGGAAGTCCGGGATGTAGGCCGGAACGCTGTGCTGCTCGATGGCGCCGCCTCCGATAAGATATTGGCAGAGCATGGTAAAGGCGGTCGCGAAGAAAGTAGTGTAGTGGCGAAGCCCGCCTTTGGGTGATCTTCCCATGCTCCTCGGTGCTCGCTCCATCGGAGTCTCCGGTGGCACTTCTTGCATCGGGCGAACTTCCCGAACGAGTTGCCGTAGCGGACGTACTCGGGATGCTCGCAGGTGGTCCGGGGGGTGGTTGAAGGCCACGTCCAGCACCGGCGGGATCGTCTCGAACACCGTGGCCGGGAGGATGTCGAGGTTCACCGCCACCGCCAAGCTCATGAAGACCTGCTTCCGGAAGTGAAGAAGGTGATCCGTGAGGCGCCACCAGCAGCGAAGCCATCCAGGTGGGGGCGGCGCGCGGGAGGTCACACGATCCATGCGACGGCGGTGTGCTCTTCGGCCCGGTCTCTGCGACGTCTTGGGCCACAAGCTCGACGGGAGCGCTTTCCCAGTTCACGGTCTCTTGCAGCTGCTGCCATGTGACATGGTTGCTAAAGTCAGTGATGCAGACTGTGAGGTGACCACCGATCCTAAGCAACGGCACTGTGACAGACAACTTCTCAAAGCAGACGCGGTTCCGGGGCAAGTCAAGGATCATGCCAAGCCGGTCCAGAAGCTTATTGGAGGCAAGCAAGGGAATTTTTGCCGTCACGACGCCAACTCCGAAAATCAAGTTGGTGCCTCCGAGGCCCACGGGCAAGTAGTTGCGCCGGGCCGCTTTAAGCGGGTCTTTGCTTCCGAACTGGAACGAGTCTGTGCAAGAAACCTGGTGCGAGCTGAGGCCGTGCTTCTTGAGCTGGCGGTCGTGGCTCCTTTCCCAGTCGACTCCGCAACAGGTGCGCTGGCAAGCCGTGTCCAAAACCATGACACGAGAAAAATCTGCACACATCTCGGGCTTGGCCTGCACCTTGAAAACAACATTGGCTTGAAAAAGGGCGCCATACTCGGGGACGTCGGTGGCCTCGTAAGTGCCCGCGTCCCGCATGAAGAAGGTCTGGTGGGCCGGCTTTCGGCTCTGCTGCTGTGGGCCCTTTCCAGGTGAGCCCTTGCCGGAAGGTCCAGGCCCTGATGTCGAGTACCGGGCTTTGGCGTCATAGGGCACTCTTCGTCCCCCTTTCCAGTGTCCCAGGGCCCCACATGCTTTGCAATGCGTCTCCTTCTTCACGGCGGTGGGGTCTCGGCGAGGTCCTCCGCTGAACTTCCGGCCAAGCCGAAGCCCAGAAAGCTTCTTCGCAGTAACGGTCAAGACCTCCGCCACTTCAGAGAGGTCGGGGTAGTCCTCCTCGTTGTCGTGGTCGTCGTCCGGCTCCGGCTGCTCGGCGTCGGGGCCGTCCGCGTCGTCGGGGCTGCCGTCGGCGACGAGGTCGGGCTGCTCCTCGGGAATCTGCTCCATGTGCTCGGCCTCCTCGGTCACGTACACCCTGCGGGGGGCCGGTCCTTCGCCACGGTCATGGAAAGCCCCTTTGCCAGGAGAGTGTCCGGCCGGTGTGCCGTGGCCTCCTTTGCCGCCCTTGTCCCGGGAGGGCAAGAAGGGCTTGCTAACCAAAGTCCCGTCCTTGTTCACCACCGGAGGGGCCGCCTTGAACTCCGGGTACTGCATGACCATGCTCTCGGGCACGTTGTCGAAGTCGAGGCTGTACCTGGCGCCGACCAATATCAGCCTCGGGCCCGCCGGCGTCAAGCGGGCACGCTCGAGCAAGCGATTTCCCCGGGCCTCGGAATCATACATGCCGGTGATACTGACTCCCAAAGCTTCCAGTGATCTTTCGACGCGGCGGTATCTGTTCGCGTAGGTCCGGAGTCCTTCTCCTGGATATCGGCTAAGTTGCTCGAAATCCGACAAAAACTTGCGTTTTTGATACACAGCTTTTTGTTCCATAGGTGCTCTGAGGGACTCCAAGATATACTGTATACCGCTGTCGCAGTTGATCTTGTCCAGGGGTGCGTGTTCGAGTTCGGCTTCCGCCTCCCCCGAAAGGGAGCTGTAGAGGAGGAGCGAGGCCTCGCGTGGAGTCATATACGTTTTGATTTGCATTTCCCATATCTGCACTTTCCTCGACCATTTCGAGAATGCCCGCAAATCTGTCACATCGTATCGCCACGTTGGTGGCGAGGGGGGAGTTCCCCCGCGCCACCGGACATTCTTTTCCGGCCCCATCCTGGAGTTCCACGAAGGTGTGCTTGTGCTGTCCTTCTTCCGAGGGGAAGAAGCAGCACGCATGTCCCCGAGCGACAAGTGCTGAGGGTGCTCGAGGTTCTCGTGGGGAAGGTCCTGGTCGAGGTCGGCGCGCGCTGTCTTAACCTGGGCTCGGTCAGGGCGCTCAGGTAGAACAGGTGGAGCTTGTCGAGGTAGAGGTCGGCCAGCTGGGGCCCATCCTGCCCAAGGGTCGTGGCGCCGAGCTCGTCGGGAAGTAGCCGAGGATTCGCCTGCAGACACCGTCGGGTCGTAGGTCAGGGTCTCCGACTCAGCTTGTTCCGACCGCTCCGAAGCACCATCTCCTGGAGGAGGTCCACCTCGTGGTCGTCTGTTCCGTCGTCGGCGGCGCGGCGGCGGAAGTCCACCTGCATCATCATCGCCGGGCCGTGATCCTGGAGCGGGCGGTGGTGCATGTCCGGCAGGTACGTAGTGCCACTGGCCTTGTCCATGCTGGGCCTGTCTAGTCATCGGCCTGTCCACCCGGTACTGTACAAACGAACCACAAGTCCGGCAGCGAGGTCGGCCAAGGTAGTCGGGGAGGAAGTCGTTGCCGTCACAGTCGGCGCACCTCAGCAACTCCCCGAGCCCTGGCGGCAGCGTGGGTCCTGGATCGGCAGTGGCGCCTTTCTCGGGTTCCAGCTCCGGCAGCTCTTCCTCCAGCCCAAAGTCAAGAAGGTCAGCTGCTGCCATGTCGAACGTGGCAACCAAGGGCATGACGAGGTAGGCGCGGCACAATCAGGCTCCGGTGCCAACTAATCGAATGCAGCACGAGCACTCGATGCAAAGAACATGTGCTTTTTCGTCGAAGCGTGCAAAAGATCTGAGCTCAAGGGGTTCCCGCTGGAGGGAGCCAAAAGCACGAAGTGCACAGATGCATGCAATCCAAGAGCGTGACATGCAAGCCTAAGGTATGCACGAAACTTTCAGAAACAACCCCGAAGAGCTAGCTGTGGTCAGGCATGATACAGTCGCACAGCGAAGTGTTCGTAGGAAGAGGAGGATGAGTAGCAGGAGTAGCAGCAGCAGTAGTAGTGGTGGTGGTAGTAGAAGCAGTAGCAGTAGCAGTGGCAGTGGCAGTGGCAGTGGCAGTGGCAGTAGCACTAGCACTAGCACTAGCACTAGCACTAGCAGCAGTAGAAGAAGGAGTAGTAGTAGTAGCAGTAGTAGTAGTAGTCGTCGTCGTCGTCGTCGTCGTAGTAGTAGTAGTAGTAGTAGGAGTAGGAGTAGGAGTAGGAGTAGTATTATTAGTAGTAGCAGTAACAGTAGCAGTAGCAGTAGGAGTAGGAGTAGGAGTAGGAGTAGGAGTAGGAGTAGGAGTAGTAGTAGTAGTAGTAGTAGTAGTAGGAGTAGTAGTAGTAGGTGGTCGGCGTCATGGTGGCGGTAGAAGTGGTAGTAGTGGTGGCGGCAGCAGGAGGTGCGCCGTCGTCTGGGACGTTATCATAGTCGTCGTAACGTAGTAGTCGTAGCTTTATGTTGGTCATAGCCTTCACGCCCATTGTCCGGTTCCCAAGCCATGTCGCTCCAGGTCACCACGGTGCGGCAGCCATGGTGCGAAGAGGCCAACAGTGTCAGAGCATGCTCCCACTGAGAGCCTGGTGATTGAAGCTTTGAGCTCTCGGCCGTTGAGGTAGAAGCCGACTCTGGAAGTTCAATGTTTCGAGATCAGGTTGTGAGGATTCCACGTCATGGAGTCTGCAAACGAGCTTTCGGGCTCAAGGCTGCAGACCGTCAGGATCCTGGTTCAGACTGGGTCGTAGGTACACAATTAACTTCGCCCACCCTTCCACCAAAGCGACACAAGCTTCTGAAGCTAGCATTGCCCTCGAGTGCGTCTGCTATCTTCAGAGTTCACAGGGCTCTAAATCTCTTGTGCACCGCCTTGGTGGAAGGCGCTCATTAGGGCGTTCTGCGTGATCGTGTCCTGGCAGCGACTCCGAATCGTAACCCAAAGCTCAAAGACGACTGCGACTGGGACTTTGGATTCGGTTGCAGGCCTTTCTGTTGCTTTCTCCAGGCCGTCTGGTATTTCGACACTAAGAAAGCCCATCAAGTTTCAAATAACCGAGCTCTCGGATGGGTTTGGAGTGGATGGTTGCCGGATAACCCCGTGACTTCAGCATTCTCACAAGCACATTTTCTGCAGCTGAGGTGCTGTCATTCACCACGGCGTTTACGCATCGCTGAATCGGTGACTGTTCGTAGACTCACTACAATACTTCCAAAGCCTGCATACGTGCATGGGAAGTGTCGTCCGAAATCATCTGCAAAAGGCCGACGGTAAGAGCCTCCGACTTCCGACCTCATGCAGGCTACCCAAGTCTTAAACCTGCGAGGAGTGCCGCCCTTTGCGTCGCCATTCGCATCGACTCTACCTTGGAGGCTCCCGATGCGCCCAGCGCCACTGCAACCACCAAGACCGAAACGACCACGACAATACCACTCAACAAAAGGTTGGCCTCCGCCAACAGCGTAACAAGAAGCTGCCATCACCAGCTGAGCTGACGAAGCTCTCCTAAAATCTAGGGCATCTAGGGGACACGCACACATTGATGGAGCACCAGTTCAAACACCACCTTCCATCGGAAGTCCAGCCACGAGCTCGCAAGCGGCCTCCCACTGGGCAGCCTCGGAGATCCGAAGACTCCACAAGGCAGTTCGAACTGGGGCGAATTTTGCATCTCTCTTAGAGGGTTGCTGCTCATCTGATCATCCGAGGCTCTTTGGCGCAGGCAGTAATCACGGTATTGCATGCCTAGGTCCGTTTCACTCATGACCATCACGCGGATGACCAAGGACTCAGGAAGAACTCAGTTTCGTGACCTCGGGAGTTCTCGTGCTGGAGCCCAGGTACAACAGTGTCTTGTTGTACTTGCCACTGAGGCATCTCCTCACAGGGCTTTCGGGCATTAAGGAAGAATCGAAGTCTCTCTCAGGCAAAGGGGTTCCATGGAAACACTCGACCTTCAGCCTCTGTGGTCTCTAGCTCCCTTTACCCCCCCCCCCCCCCCCCCCCCCCCC